GGAAGCAGATCGGTCTTTCTCGAATTTCTTTCCGTCAACGATTGATGCCATCTTTACTGTGGTTATTCCGCGTTTTGTTTAAATCAGAGCTTTAAAACTTGGCACGATCACGAGAGTTACAGAGAGGAGGATTGTTTATCTTGGATTAGTGTAAAAGCAATAAAAATTTAAAATTCGGCATATCAGTTGATTGTGTTGCTCTACTGTACAAACGGTACAGTCGAGGTCAAATTCAATCAGAGGAAAAAAATGAAAAATAAGTGGTCGTTGACGTGATGTTTTTGGTGCACGTACCCTACGTACCGTACGGCAGGGGTCATAAATGTGGAGGGGGTGCGCATCTCGTTGAGTATTGGAAACGACGGACAGACGAAAGACGGAACCACACGAACCCGGCACCGTGAAAGCCGGCAGCCCCACCAATGCGCTACAGGTACCCTTACACCCTCAAGAAGCCTTGACCCCATTCTCGAAAGTATTGCGGTGAAAGAATGCCACGGTAGGATGAGACATGATGTGAGGAAGATTCACTCCGGCACATCAGACTCTACACTACCAAAGCAAAAGCACACCACAATACCAAAGGAATCCGGTGAAAATGCAACGAATCACCGCCAAACAGAACGTACAGCACCAAAGGACGCTCCGACGCGTCGAACGCCCCGCCGCGGCGAACGCCCCGCCGCGTCAAACGCCCAGCCGAACCGAACGCTCCGCCACATCGAACGCTCCGCCGCATCGGACGCCCCGTGTCTTCGTATCAAAACAAGACATTCAACCACAAAACAAACCAACAACACACTCCCACCGTGTGACTACAACAAAACCACACCAAGCCAAGAACGAATTTAAAAACGCGAAACAATCGCTAAACAAAAAACACAAATTCGCCAAACCGCCACCAAGGACGGACACCACGAGCCGTAACCACCAACCAACCCAATAACCTCGACAACCCCAAATATCCCCGACCACAACAAACACACACCAAAAATCCCGTCAACTACGACAAAAAACCAACCGCCAACAAGACAAAACACCTAATAATACAACAAAAACGAACAACATTCGGCCACAACGCTCAAAACCGACGACCAACAACAAATTTCAACTCCAACCAACCACCCCAACACCACGAAACCCCATGAACATGGAACTAACTGAACCAATACCACAACAATCAACCGACACCAAATGCCCACAAACTAACATTTGTACAAAACAAAAACAAACAACCCGATAACCACCAACAACATGCCACTCCTTGCCCCAGTAGTCCGAGACGCCATCGTCGCCGTCCTCAAAGAACAGGACCCACCACCCCAAAACCAAGACCCGTGGACACCAGGACACCTCTACCAAGCCGTCCTCGACAACAACGGAGTCTCCCCGATTATGGCCCTAGGACACAGCCGCAACGCCCTCCATGTCATCAACCTACACCCAACCCAATGCGAAATCCTCACCATCCAACGCCGCACGGCACTCACCAAAGCGGACCGCAGATGCCCCCAAACCAACGGACCCAATGGAACCGAACACGCCCTGACCCAAGACCCTATCCCGTTCTTGAAACCCCATGCAACAGCAAAAGCAAAAAACGAAAGTCTACTAAGCGAAATCCCCCCATCACTACTCGACTTCTACTGCAACGACCAACAACCCACCCACCCAAACAAACTCCGAAACCACCTGCTACAAGAAAAAGCAATTGCAAGGAACTCCGGAACAGCAAAGTGGCTCCTAGCCGCCTGCACGAGAAAGARCAACGACCCCACAACCAGCAGCCTCCTCCTCAAAAGCACACCCCCAACACTCCCCTTCTCCCAACAACTGTCCACACAAATCTCCAACGACCTTGAAGACCTGTGGCACAACGAAGCAACACCCCTCACGGACCTCCTCATCGAACACAACGTCCTCGCCCCAGAAGACCCACCCACACCGGGCGAGACTGGCAATACCAACGAAGAGGACCCCGAAACCATTAACCTTCTCAACTCCCACGAGACGCCCCCCAACCAAACCGACAGACGAAACCCCGTGTTCGAAACCCCACCCCCACGCCTGAATCCAGCACAAGTCACCCCCAACCACAACATCCATTCCATGGCCGACGACATCCACACCATGGCACACCGGCGCCTCCAAAACCTACTAGCAAATCTCACAACCACCCCAACACCGGCAGAACTAAGTCAAATGAACCTTTACACGTCAATAATCAACGCACCAAAACCAGCCGCCCCACAACAACGCTCCGCCACCCCCATCCAACTACTAAATATTATCGGATGGTCAGGGATGCCACTCACCCAAATCGACACCTTTCACGCCATAACCCACAACGCATGGGAAGAAATCCTCAAATCAGA